CCTGCAATTGGCACGAATTCATGCTTGTACATACATGTAAGTAGTTCAAAAAGTACATGTAGCTACAAGTACGTATAACATGTTCACACCAGATCCTCAATTTCAGCACAGAACATCCTAGCTAGGACTCTGGTATGCTTCTTATTTTGGGTTGTAAGGGCAACTATCACAGTAGTGTTTCATAACGTTATGAACCTGTCCGGTCCGTGATCGGTCTAAAGGGCGCATAAGCTTGCAATTGGTTCGTTTCATTGGTTAGCTTAAGATCAAACTCATCGAGCCTGTTTGAGCATGAGCCTTCGATCCAATGGGCATTTTATAAAAATGAGTGCGAGGAGGTTTAAGGCAAACCCCAAAGCTCACAAACGGTAATTTTAATAGATATTTGTTTGTATGTATACTTGTAAGCTGTATATGTACATGTACCTATATAAGATGTACCCCTAAGTATGTAGTAAGTATGGGTGTTTGTTGCATCCCCCTTGCCTGAATAGTTGAATATGATTGGTACAGAAACCGGTTGCGACGAAGATCCTTTCTCTTTGGCGTCGACTGTTCGGGTGAGGGGGTGTTCTGGTGGCTAGGGAAGCCGTCTAATTCTTGTGTCTAGGTGAAGTAATGGCATATACATACAAGTAATCGAGCCATGGTACATCCTATCTCACCATCAATCCTTTCCTTCTCCACTATACCTTACCCCTCATGATCAACTGAATGAGGTCCTCACGTTTTATATCGATTGAGGTATACCGGTAGCGAACGAATTAGCTCAAATCACATGGACTTACCCCACTAGGCCTCGAGCCTGATAAAGGCAGTTTCAGGCAGTTTTTTTTTTGCTCATAGGTCTAGCATCATAAGTTTAAGCCTTCTATTGTGAGACTTGTGACCAGGCTCCTAGGCTTGTGGGGGACTAGTTTACTACCACGTTCACGACGGGAAACGTCAACGGTCGTTGTTTTAAAGTCCATATACGTCATAATCAATTAACATGATCAACGCAAGGGTCCGACATAGCGCACGCACTTAGCTTACCCTATATGTCTAATCTTTGTCATCATCGACAGGTCCCCAGATATATTCCAGTTACACAAAGGCTCTTCATTCTTGAAGTTTGGTAACCCCATATATCCGTGCCCAAAAGGTTCTCTCTTTAATGATAACGGGTTTAATTGACCCCCCTTGTAATTGCCGAATAGTACTGGTTCCTTCTGGGGTAAATACGTTTATATGGTGAGTGTGTTTCGAATTCCCGGCCGGTGGACTCAGATGGCGATGATGATACGGGTACGGGTATGAGCGGCCTGGCTTGGATTTTGAGCTACCTCAGACCCTAGAGGTAAAGACGCGAGCCCGCTCACAACCGACTACTATAGTGCCTATCACTACTTGGGTCTGTCTGCCTCATAGCTCTACCTTGAGCCTTGAAAGAATTTCCCACCAGTTCCTACAGCGATATATACATATCTCCGAAAACCCTCCAAGACTGTTGTTTACAAGAGGTATGATAATGAGCATATCAATGACTCTTCCTTTATCGTATATCTATAAAGAGGACATAGCTTAATTAGAGATGAGTAATTATCTCATGGGCTAACTCCAGCCCACAATTATGAGGGAGGCTGGTACGTACATGCATGGTAGAGAGAAAGGCTCCAGATTGCATGTCTCTCTGTGAGCTCGGGCAACGGTTTTCTTAGAGTTTTCATATGGTATAAACTCGTACATATCAAGCGAGGGTACCTTGGGAGCTACCTAGAACTACATGTGACTTGGATCCGGGGCGAATAAAATCCGGCTATCTAAAAAACAATCAATTGCGTTCTTCAATCCCCATCGGCTATTTTGACTGAGAACAAGGCTAACTTACACGCAACTAGACACTGCTGGTCTCAGGCTGCCTTTATCTGCATGTAGTAGATACATATATTGGTATACCCTATGATGTATTCAATCAGATCTCACATATATATCTAATTCGTGTAGGTACTTTATAGCAAACGTGGTGTTAAGAATTATTACTACTCTACTGGCACCAGCTATATTTATCGAAACAGACACGAGCTTTATTGTCCAATTATATACCTTTGTCACTTCTCAAGTGGGAGATCTAGCGAATCCATATGTGACCTGGGATGGCCGGACCAATCAGAGAATATGGCCAATAATCGAGTTCTAAGTTGTTTAAGGCTGAAATGAACATCTACTGAACCGAGCGAGCCTGGTTCAATACCGATTATAAGACTCGCTTCTCCCTCTGATATGCATGTTCAAATTGCTAAGCCTCCTCCGAAGTACGCACCCAAATGAGCTGGGGTATTTTTGTTGGGCTGAGCATTGTCGATGAGTATGAGCTTCACAAATTTTAGGCTTGTAGGTACATACGTGGGCTGAGTACATAAGACTTCCCTCTTGAACGTGTTGAAAAACGCTAAAACGCAAGAACTTGCACGTAATTGTCCCTAATGTTATTCGAAGTTTTCTGATAGTCAACTTGAGCAGACTCGTAGAGGTGGCTATATCCTCGCTATCTAGCTACAGCTTATGGCCTTCCCGTATACTTACTATGATAGAAATTTATACTCTCACATCCTATTACCGAATTCTTGAATTTTACGCGTTTGATCGAAAATAGCTTAGTAATCGAATGACAGCTTTTGAATGAATTTTGTGCTTAACGGGGATTTACAATTAGATTGGGGTCTTTTTAGTAGTCTATTTCGATACTACAGCTAACAATCTTTAATATCTCTGTTTGATATAGATAACTAGAAGAGTTATCGACTTGGTATAAGTAGATAAAAAGTTGGATATTTTCACCGTTAATCATGAACTATCACTCGCTATATATGAATAGCTTAACAGCCACCCATTAATCCTTCCCAAAACTATAAATAGGGAAAACAAAGGAAGTAACTATAAATATTATCAGGCAATTAAGAAGATTAAATAAATCGGTACACGTACGCGTGCACGTGTATCCACTATGATTGTTGCTGATGGTCTAGTTAGGCGTGGTCGGCGAGAAGAGTATAGTAGACGCGCTAAAAGCGAGCTTTTAGGGGTTACTTCTCTGCATGCACACACGCCCTTATTTGTGTGGAGATAATTGGCCATTTAACCGCGTATTAGCGTGGAGGCTTAATCATGTTAGTATTTGGCGGCCAACATTTATAATATCATGGGATCAAACCCTAACCCTAATAACACGTAACTACATACTTATAAAATCAAATCACTCAACCGCCAATATCACAAGCCGAGTCGAGCTTTTATAGTGATGTAGAAAGATGGAACGGAAACCATATAATGGCGGGAACCGCCTGTAATGGTACTCTCGTTGCGGGGCAAGTTTAGGTCTGGTTGAGGCCAATTTAAGTGTGGTTGAGGTCGAGTAACGTGACCTGTAGGGCTACTAGTTGTTTCTCTACCTATGAGATCTTTTCAGTACCCTTACAGGCGGTTTCCGCCATATCTTCATGGCATGCTCACATACTGCGCCGGTAGATAATTATAATAAGTAATGTAACGGCGGCCTGAGACACAGGTACGCCTGTTTTAGAAACATACCGTCTCTACCACGGTACGAAATGCATCAGTAAATGCATCATAAATGCATCAGTGAAAGTCGTCAGTCAATGTATCAAGCCTTGTTCCTAAAACGTGTGGATAATGCATCAATTAATGCATCAACTAATGCATCCTTAATGCATCACAGTCTCGTTTCGCCAAGAGCTCGGGAAATACTTATAATTATATCAGGAAAATAGAAATGCAAACAGTGCCGAATTTCTGAATCACGGTATGAAATGCATCAGTAAAGGCATCAGTAAAGGCATCGGTAAAGGCATCGGTAAAGGGATTAGTAAATGCATCATACCGAAGAACACTCCTGCCCCGATGCAAAACAAATGAATGTGGAGGGATTGAACCTGAATCATTCCGATGATCTAGCTTAGAGCTTACCACCTGTACCATTATATCTTTTCAATATATAGCCTTTACAAGCGATACGTATAAGCTGACTCAATAGGTATATGTAGCCGAGCTGGAGATCAAAAAATATCTGTCAATAATCAGTAGGGACAAGAAATACCAACGACAGTAGTATTCGCGGTCCGACGATTTTCCCTACACCTTTACCTACTGTCGACGATTTTACCTACACCTTTCCCTACGACTTTTCTGGGGAACATTGTCAATCAGTAGGGAACGGTGTAGGTAAAATCTTCGACAGCATTTAGTAGGCAAAGGTGTAGGTAAAATCGTCGACAGTACTTGGTTGGGAAAGGTGCTGGTAAAATCGTCGACAGTACTTGGTAGGCTCGAAAGGTGTAGGTAAAACCGTCGACAGTAGGGAAAGGTGTAGGTAAAATCGTCGACAGTAGGTAAATGTGTAGGTAAAATCTTCAGCAAATGTGTAGCCTGATGCATTTATTGAGGCCTCGACAAGCTTATGCATCAACTGATGCATTTGCGAGCCGCTTTCGTATTTCCTGCCGTAGTAGAGCGTGTTTGCAGGTACATGTAGTTATAACTGGCTCTCAGATCTAGAGCGCGAGCGTTCCATCATTTATTAAATAGTACCGCTCTACTAGAATTGAAAGCCTAGTCTTATATATTACAAGCTCTAAAGTAAAGAGTATGTCTGTTTGGGGCCAATTCATATTACAATTACTGGGCCGGACTTGCTGGTCCCCTTTTTTTCTGTGCTGTGTCATGAAAATGTCGGTTTTCTTATAATTAGATACTATGTAACTACATGTACTTACCTGCTATACTTTTGGTTTATTTTAACCCTTACATTAATCAACGTCTTACGCCAGAGCTGTGAAGAAAACAAAATTATTTGACGCTATATACATGTAACTTGCCAACATATATAAGATACATTGGAAATATATATTTCAGTAGCTACTACCAGCAGCTCAACTAAAGGACCTTCACACAAGATAACAAAAGTACTACTAGCTACACCTTAAAGCAAACATGTATCCTCTTCACCCCCTCCCCACATCCCTGTACCCAATCCACACACCTCCCCTAGTCCCTCCAATCTCTGCCATCCCCTTCACCCTCACTTGCCCCGCCATCTGACACGCCTCAATCATCCTATTCACAGCATCCACGATTTCGTCGACCTCCCAGACAATACCAGCATGGCCTCCTCCGTGATCACCTACACACATACCGAGTGTCACCGTACCATAAGTGATGAAGGGTTTGATGCAGCCGTTTGGCTTATGGTTTGCCAGGACATAAGGAAGTAGAGAGGGATCTGCGCGGGCGGACTCGGCCCAGGTGGATAGTGTCGTTTGGACGTTGGGGATTTCGGCGGCGGATTTGAAGGCGATGTCTGCGGCGGTTAGGCCGCAGGTGAGGGCGTTGCGTTTGCTATTTCCCTGTACATGTGGGAAGGCGTTAGCGGGGGGTATATGGAAGAAGAGGGTGATTATGAGGATGGGGAGGACGAGGAAGTAGAGGTTGTGCATTTTGTTGGTTTTGGTGAGTTTTGTAATAATCGTGGTGGTGAGGTAGATACTTTTGACGATGAATTTGATAATGAAATGACGATCGATACTAACAGACGTATCTCTTGAAAGAAGTCTTGAGGATATTTATGTATTCGATAGAAGAACTAATCGACAATTCAATCCATTAGCCATCTGAGGGAGTTGTTCTTTATGAATACCAAAAGGTGCATGGGCGCAGCTCCCACTATACTATGAAATATAACCTCTAATACCAATGAACTGTGATCCCATTGACCTAATAAGTTAAGAAAGATTGTATTGTACATAAATCTGAATTGTAATCATTATTTATCACTCGACACATGCATGGGCGTTGGGTGCTTGACTAAACAAACAAACAACAAATGACACATTGTCCTATCTGCCAACGTAAAGATTTACAGTGTTGTTTTATGTGTACGACTCATTCAGTCCTTTTCTCAAGAGCACAAGACCAGTCAACTGGTCATCATATCAATCATTTGACGAGATCAGACAACATTCTAACGACTGAAATAAAAAAACCATTTTCACCCTCTACTGTATTAACTTAATGCATTTCTGATCATCGGCTACTCCGATCTTGTACGTCACGTCATTCTTGTTCAATAAGAATCGACACTGTGTACCAGTACGACTTTAGTGCCATAAAGGAATGGTTAGCGAGTGGCGAACATCCGAGCCACACCTTATTTTAGCGACCACCGTGACAACCCTCCCTCTTGTCACACTGAACCACATCAGTGAGTGATACATACATGCATAACCGACATATGCGCGCAGCAGTCCACAGTCTCGGATTATATTAACATCCCCAGTAGAACTGCACGCTTCGCACAACCCAGCACTTTTAATTTGTTCAATTAGACCGCGACGTCCATTGTCACTATGGGCCGGGTTTATCTGCAGTGCCTCATGTCTTTCGCGCGGCCCGCTCCTTGGGTTTCCGTGTCTAAGGGTTTGGTACCCACTGTCAGTGTTACGAACGAGGAGCTGATCGGGTGCCTCCGCATGTTTTAGGAGACTTGGGGATGGCAGTGATGTAGTTGTGCTTGACCGTTGGACTATGGCCAAGATCTAGAGGTACTATATCACAATACTTTTTCTTTACCTATTTTTAACCATAGGTACATGTAGGTACAAACTTTCGAACACCACCACCACATCTATACTACTGGCACTGAAAACAAATATATCCTATGTAGGTACACCAAACCGGAAGGTGGCCCGCATACTCAAGGGGTACAAGTATATCCTACGCACATGTAGGTACATACATACATACCTGCGTGCAAAAGAGGGAGAGAGAAATATGAACATGGTAGGAAATATGCGATGCGGGTAGAGCGGCTATTGTCTCGTTATCTCCCCCGGCGGGTCTTCATAAAGTACTTTACTGTTATCCGAGCACCCCAGCACAAGTATCAAGAGCTAAGCATCCTGGTTATCGTCCGACATTAACTCTACAGGCCGTAGATAGGATACCCGTCTCGGAGTGGGCTCAGCTGGTAAACCCACAGTTATCACCTTCCCAAGGGACCCACCACCCATATTCGATACCAGAGATAGGGAGGTACAAGTTGGCAACCCTGTGCTGTGCTTCTAGAGCCCATGGACCGGTTAAGGCAAGGAAGGAGAACAAAGGAGCCCAAATACACAGTCCAAGATCTCCCACCGTCGAAAAGAAATTTTCAACCAAACATGGATGGTGGGCATGTGGGTGTGGGAGTGTCAGGAACTAGTTTCGACTTCACCGGAAACTGAGACACAAATGAGAAGAATAATGTGGTATCTTAGCTCTTTGCTGAACACGAGCCAGGCCCGACTACTGAAGGCGGATATCTCTCGTACGTATTCTCATGTATGTCTCGAGCAAGCCAATGGTACTCATTACTCTATAGGTCCCATCACGCTCCGTTGTGACGAGTGCCTAGAAAGAAGAAGTTACTCTCCTCCTCACGATGATCCAACGGGCGGGATCGCTGGGCCTTGTTCAAGATCTGGTGAAAAAAGATTTCAAACTAATCGATCAGCCTCGCCCCGTTAGTTATTGCCTAGAACCACTCAACTACATTAACGTCTACCCGCGCAAGATGTTTTTTGTGACTAACCGAGTCAAGTCGTGGCTTCTGCCTATACGCTCCTCTATTTTAAACTCCGCGGAGTTTTATCTAAATACAGCTGTTTGCCCTCCCTCTTGTTTAAACCATGGCCAAAGTCCGCATGTGGAAATGATTTTATGGTCACTTTTGGGCAATTCGCGAAATTATTGCTACAGTAATGGAATTCCTCGTTGTCCAGTAAACTGGAGAGCTTCATGTCATGCCCTGACAATTCTCAGTATCTTTTGAGCCTTTTAGCGACGTCTGGCAGAAACTGGATGAGAGTTTGGCGAAGTGGGGTGACTTAATGCGAGTATTCATACTGAAGAAGATATATCTTCCAAACTGGTAAGAAACCATTTTCCCATAGAAGGACAATGAAGGCTGTACCTATGCAGTCCTTTCAAACTTATTTGTAGGCAGCAGTGCACAAATGGACCATAATAAAGCCGGATAATTAAGGTTATTTATAATATCATTTTGATCATTGATGTTTACATCGTATATCAAACTTACTACATCGTACGTGAGATTTCACCAATTTTACGCGCAATGAAAAGCTAAAAATCTTAACAAAGGAAAGAAATAATTTGTCATGTGTGCAAGTAGTTAAATAGTTAGAAAGAAAAAGAAAGAAAAAAGATGTGACAAAACCCCACTCCGGCCCCCCAACTCACAAACACCATAAATACAAATTTTTAATAACCACAAACGTTAATAGAAATCGAAAACTAGAGAATTAACGAAAGGTAAAGAATGAATACGTCAGTGAAACTGCGTCTAAAATCACCTATTATACCTCCAATGCTTATTGGCCTCCAAGAACCTATCCGCCCTTTTCTCAAACGCTACTGCCGCCTTATACAGATAATCCTCAGCGCTTATGTCCGTTGTAATATGTTTCGCAATCAACATTTTAGCGTCTGCGCCCCTCTCCCAAGTCTCTTCACCGTCATTCCACCCAATCTTCACATAAATTCTTAGCGAGTTTTTACCCCTGAGCACCTCTGGTCCCCTGTCATCATCTCTAAACGCCACTCCGTACACCTTTGTCGCCTTCCACTTAGATTTGCTTCCTCTGGGCTTGATCTCGGGGAGATCCTGGGGAATCGAGTAGGTACAGCCCTTGGATGGCTGGACGCGCCATTTGCAGTGTTTTGCAGGACCGATGGACACAATTATCCTCTTACCACCACCCCAAGGTACGCTGGCGTCGCATTTCCCAGTTACTTTGGGGTGTTGCAGTCGGGAATGAGGGGTTCCTCGCCGCTGCTATCGGCCCTGGAGTATGACTTGGCTTCGTATTCTTGTTCTTCCTCTTCCTCTTCCTCCTCATCGGACAACTCGTCCGAGTCCGTTTCACTAGGAGTGTCCTCGTCGGTGTAGCATGTGTCTTCGGAGAAGATTGATGCTCGCTCAGAATCTGAGCCAGAGTCAGACTCAAAGTCTGAACTGGCCTCGGAGGAGTCGTAGTTGGAGAGAGAGGGGTAGGGCACATCACCACCACGGGTAGTAAACATCTCTTCGGTCAGTGTGGTGCAGATTCTTCTGACAATGATGGAGCCCTCCTCAGAGCTATCACTAGGCGTTGATATCTCTTCGGTAGTCTCGACTTCAAGACATCGGCGACGATATCCGATACTGGCTGTGGGTGAAGGTTCGCGGGATACTGTAGATACAGACATCGCCCTTGATATTAAGGCATGGGCCTTAGCGGGCGTAGCTGATGATTTTCGAGATGATGGTCTTAGTACTGGAGTGTAATATTGGGCTCGGCTGGGCGGGGGAGCACGGATCAAGGCACGATTATTGGGTTCTTCCACTTGCTCCACTTGCTCTTCTCCTTCCTCTTGCTCATCTCCCTCTTCCTCTTCCTCCTCATCTTCCTCTTCCTCCTCTTCCTTCTTGGCCGCCGGCAGGAGAAGAATCTTTGGAGAGACAGAGCGAACACGGGTCTCAGTCATCGTCTGTTCGGCCTTCGGGCTTTGTTTATCATCATTATTGGATTTGGCTATTAATATGTTAGTTTATGACTTTTATAGAGCCAGAAAGAAGTAGAAAGGAAAGAAAAAAATGGGGAAAAACGCTTCTCACCAAGATGTTTGTAGGAGGCCCTAAAGTCAGCGTTGATAGATTTTCTTGTATGGCCATTATAATCCCCGGGAATGCTCTTGACATGACCGTGCTTGCCATGACTGGAGGTGTCCTCCGCAGTTTCATCTGTGATGGCTTTGGACACGATTCGGCTTAGATTCTTGGCCATGGTTTCGCCTGAGTTGTGCCAGTTAGGTATATCTATTGGTTAGTTAGTGTATTATGGTGACTCTTTTCGAAGGAGTTTGTTCTTTCTGAGATGGTCGTGAATGTTGTAGTAGTAGCAGTAGTAGCAGTAGTAGAGGGTTGCGCCGTCTTTAAGTATTATTATTTTTTGAGTGTTTGGCGGAACACTGCCTCATTTACGTCGTTCCTGTCTCAGCCCCGTCCATACACTATCAAATGTTCTGGGTCACCCATCGGGGCTGTTTCTTTGGGCTGGAACGACTCATGTATGAAACCAGGTAATTTAACCAGTATTACACCAATCCCAGCTGGCAATTCATTTCTTGTCACATACGTGACAAGAACTTAGAAAGATTAGATTATTAAACACACGGTTAGCCAAGTACCTACTTGCTTTCTGCCGAACGTTCCCAGTATGCACCTATATGTATCTATTTATCTTCCCAATGGAGAGGTATTCAGCATAGGTGACTTACCTACCAACTCAAGTCCCAAGATTTTCTAGGCATCCATGAAGAAGGGAAGGAGGGGCCAAGTGACCAAACGATGAAGGCAGTGCCCCTTCAGACATACATTGCTTTTGGCATTGTTAATAACTAATGGGTACTGAAAAGATAACCGGAGTAGATTCTTCTTTGCCCAATAGAAATGAGCCGAGACGTGTGCCAACATGCGGCACAGACGCATGGGTTTTGAGATATAAAAAGACGATCGCAGCTGTGTGGTGGGTATGTATCCTTGTTATGAATTCTTCTGGGCATGCACCTGGTTGATGTAAGCGCATAGCACCTTAGACGAACAACTGTATCCTGTGACCTCTCCCGACTAAAGCTCTTTACTGGCCCATAAAATGTAACGGTTTTGATTGCCGGGTTACCAGCGTGACATGACAATCCGATAATTTAGGTAAAGGGACAGGATAATGCCTTACACAAGGCCGGCAAAGTCATGTCCTGCGAGCAGCGAGGCAGGTACCAAAGGTATTAAGTAATTCCCAAACTGCAATCTGTAGACTTAAAATTAAGCATCTTAGCTCAAAGCAGTGTCTACAAGCTTCAGGACCCTATGCTCTATCGACGTCGTGGGGATTTTAGGTGCTGCGGAACGGGCCGTGGGGCGGTGCACTAAGCGAGGCGCTAGCTATTCCCATTTTGTAAATGCGCGATAGTTAGGGTTTGGGGTAGGCGAGGCAGGTACCGTAGCGCCGAGCGGACAAGCCATGTCCTATTCTGTATGTATTTAAACGTGAGGATGTGTTATAAGATCGTGTGCACATTTAGTTTGCCTGATTTCCCACATATATCTAGATCTGTTTCGATTAAAACGGTCTCTCCGCGCTTATCAAAACACCTTACTTAACTGGCAAACTTCCACAATTGCAAACATCTCCACTTTCCTAGTGTATCCTGAGGTGAGCCTCCGCACTCACTCCTCGTTTCATGATCCAGTGGAGAACTTGATGCCACCCGTCGAACATTCCAAGTCATACAGCAGGGCCTCTGGAAGGTTTGTGATTGACATGATATTGATATTGGCGAGATATTGGTTTTGATGACGCATTTGCAAGCCTTATCATTCGCTGCGAGCGGGTAAGTAACTCTTTATTTTTAGAGCACGATTCGGTTGCTATCATTATTGGTCGAAGAATCTTTTATTGACCTGGTTGTCAGTAGTGTCAAGACTTCGCTCTATCTTGGCTGGACCTGGATCTCTAACCTTATGAGAGACACTATGATTTATAGATGAAGCGGGAATTATCATCATATCTCAGCCCTTGCAGTAACCCTAAGAAGTCTTCAGGCCCGACAGATAGGTTTCAACCTAAGACTAGTCTTTTTGTAGCAAGTATTATAGGCCTTATAACAGCTAATATAGCTTTATGGTGCTAATGTTCCAGGCCAAGAGGCCGCCCTCAGAGCCATCATTGGCTGTGTCCCATACATTCAACTGTATTCTAATTGACTGATGTGCAGTAGGCTTGTGTACTCCCATTTTAGTGTTTTCAATTGCGGCACTACGGGACATGGAAGTACCGAGATCTATAGAATCTTTTCGTGAGATTTAATCTAGCGTGAAAGAAGGTTTCGTTTGACGGCTACTCCGCCGTTCGACTACCAAGAAATCAGCACCTGACGAAAATCTCAGAATGAGCGGCTGCAGCCGTATCTCGAAAGGTTCCAGACCTATCACAAACAGACATGAGGGATATCAGCTTTCGGTAAGTAAGTGTCTGCGTCAATGGTTCTACTAATAGTAACTGACGCATTTAATGAAACTTCCACAATTTAGGCTTGCTGAAGGAAGATCTACACTTATAGTTAGACGATTATTGAATTGTCAAAACGAGACAATTGTGGAAATCAGAGTGGGCTAAGAGGAGGCTATGGGAGAACAACTACAAGGAAAGGACATTGGGAGAGTCTAGAGTAGAGTAGTTGGAGGAAAGGGGCTGGAGCGAGGTGCACCTTCACTATCATAGCACACATAGCACCATTTTTGGTACTCGTGACGATGGAGCAGCGTCTAGGCAAGGCATCTCTGGTGGCGGACGATACCAGTCGGGGGTGGTGATAGTACGATTGATTTTGAACCATTATTAGAAAATTTTGGCTCTCTAATGAAATCATGCTTTTGGCTATTCGTTCCGAAGAACTGACCCACAATCAATATCGTATTTAGCTGCATGAGAAACCTTAGTACTATTAAAACCGTACCTTTCAGAAAGAATTAAGGCATACCACTTTATGCCCAGGCTTGATTGGCAAGCCTCATAAATCATGAGATGATTACCGCCCAGGAAACCTGATCGGATTGTGTTTGATGTCAGAAATTGGGTTCGATCAAATAATGGTGCACACTAGACAGTGATGAACAGCAGTTATGGATGAATTATCATGATGATGGTCCATGAAGTTGATGGTGATGGTGGCAGTGATGGTGGTGGTGTTTGTTCTGCCCCGCTCAAGGCCACGAGGCAGACTTTGTTAGTGCCACGAGGCATACTGATGCAACCAGCTCATGACGCTAACGCATCTAAATTACCCCGATCTTATCTAACCACACACACACATGCATTTATCAGGGCTCTCTTTCACCACTGACTAATTGTGTAAGTCCAAACAGATGAGGGGACAAGTACCGATAGTCCAGCAGCCACCTTCGTGGAAGACAGGGGGAGAAAGCAAACCAAGCCAGGAAGGCCTCAATTCGAACCTCGTAAAACTCATAGCGGCATAGGGACAAAGAGAGAAACTTTGAAAGGTAACGATTCTCTAATAAGCTATCCTTTGGTCTGTCGATAACGTTTTTCCTCATGATCCCCTGGTCCTCTCATGCGATTCCAAAAGCCGCAGAAAATCCAAGTATGATATTGGCCAAGATTGATTCAGATTGAATAATTAATAAGGAGTTGTTCACATTATCCACCACGTGAACGAGTAAGGAGGGGCATCATTTCGTTGTCAGATTAAGAGCCACTCTCGGGAGCGGCGCCAGGACATCAGCTCTTTTATTTACTTCTGAGTCATCTCACTCTGGTGGTTAATTAAACCAATACGATATTTTTTTAATAGCCCATCGCATAACGTGATGATTTCCACCTGGACTTAGGGATGCAAACACCACATTAATTGAACAGATTTACAACTCTTCATTCCTTCGGAGCTGATCTCTGCGGTGATCTCGTGTGGACCTTTAAGATGCATGAGATCGCGAACAGTTTCCTTCCTACAGTTCTGCGTAGCAACTAGTCTCGTCTCGCTCATTATAATACAGCGAGTGAGTAGTCATGAGCCAAGCCTTGACGAAACTCTTTGCGAAGTGAAGTTTTATCTGCGTCTTGATCCATCTTTAGAGGTTTAACTTGTGGAGCAACTGAATCTGCGGGCTTGAGGCGGGGAAAACCCCCCAACAACTTAAAAAAAAACTGTAAGCTCTAGTACGGTCATGGTGAAGGTAGGGTTAGGGAATTCTGCGGTTTGCGATGTAGAAAATGAGTGCTTGACGAGGAGATGTGGCTTTTTCTCGCCCAACCTCGTTTTATACCAGTGCTCATCTTCATTGCACAACGAAAAGGTGAGAAACGATTGGCTTGAGCTTCCAGAGCTTGCTAACCTCATCTAGTCTTGGCGGAGTGTGTTTACATATGTCGGGTATCAAAAATAACCGATCACTAGCACCCTCGTGAGACTCATAGCAACCAAAACCGACCTGCGAAGAAACCTCACATCGAGACTTTCGAGGTCAGAAGGGTAATTCCATTCCCCCCAAGCACCTAACTCCGTTTAGGAGACTTTAAATTACTCAATTGCTCTCCTGGTTGTTGAGTTATTCTGACCTGAAGTGATTTCGATGTTGTCGTGAGGTGATCGGTTATTTTGATACCCGACAATACATACCATGCCAAGACAGCCGGGTAACAGATGTCGCAGCTCCTCATCACTTTCAACCCACCCACACCATCTCACCATGATTACCAGATCTCATCCCCGATGTCAACACCCTGCCTCCCTCTCTATCCCCATCGTCATACAAGCCCACCAAACCCATCACCGCTCATACTCTTGATCTTATGGGCCCTCAGTCGCTCAACTCGCGTAAGTTTGCTATCCCCACGCCTCTTAAGGCATCGTCATCGCCCCCCTGAGCACGCGTAGGCAACAACACCAGAGCTTTACCGAATAATTTTTCGCCGTGTTCGGGTAACTTCCCGCATAGCCAGCGCTAGAACCTGGGTTGAATAAGTTTTCCCTAGTGTTCAGGTAACTTCCTGCTAGCCAGCGCTGGGACCGGGACTTAATGTCGTATTGCTCGTGTGGTGTTGTTCGTCTTCGCGTGTGTATGTTCTTACCCCCCCCCCCCCCTCTCTCCCTATAGGGGCTACTAACCGGCGCTTCTGCACCCTGAGTCCGAGCATAGATGAAACTCCGCCTCCGGGGGTGATGGGGGTGATGATCCATGTTGGTCTGCTTGGTTCTGTTATTGGTGCTTGCAGACGTCCTAGGCGCCGATAGGTTGGGTTTTTCTTTAACGTAATGAGATGAGGTGAGGTTTCAGCCCCTATCGCGCGTATACGGCTTGCGGTAAGATTATTGTAGAAATATGGGAGGAGTCCTATTGGCTTGCCCAGCCACAGAAACCCTGTTTTTAGACCCTTGCCCCTACAATAATTTTACCTCTCGCTGTAGAGCCCCTGCTAACATGCTAGAATCAGGTAAAAGGAGAGCATGGAGTGGTGGTGAGTTGAGCATCGTTGTTCATTTTCATCATTCCACATGAATGCTATAGCTATGATTTGAAAAACAATCTTTGTAGCACCAATGGGCAGAGGGATTTTATTCCGTTGGCTTCAGGGCTTTGAGTTTGCATGGGCTTGGGATTTTTTTCAATAGCTTCTCATCTACTTGTACAACAGACTCGTTGCGAAAATATATTTATTATAAAGATTCAGATTTCTAAGGAGAGATTTATAGTCTAGTTGTCCGCCCTGCATTTCTACACCTAAGATCTACGAATAGGCTCTTATGGAGGGAATAAACAGCGCTGCAAGAGCTTCTCCGCCAGCTTTGGGGGCCTTTATAAATATCGACTAAACGACAACGGAGTCCTGCAGTCCTGGGCTGGGGATGGAACCAGAAGTGGATAAGTGGAGTGCAAAGCGGAAGTGCAGGAGCAACCGTAAAAGGACAGGGTCAACATGTTGGACACTAGAAAATGAGGACAAGATGAGTTTTGGGAGAGAAGATGGAGGGACCATTTGGTACTCCTATATACAGCACCACCACTCGGACGTTTTCAAACCTGGCCGAGAACACTGCATGTGCGCTTTTTCTTTCTCTTTTAGGCTGTAGCATGGGGGCGAAGGAGAGGGAGTGTATACATGGTTGTCCCGAGGGCGGTGAAAACTCCGGCATCAGCGTCTCTGCGTAAAAAATTAGAATAGGGGAGGGCCAGCGGTTCTGTCATATCGAGGAGTGGTGGAATGTGAGAGATTTTTCAAGGCCGTTGGTTGGATTGCGCAGACTTATGGAATGGGTCTGGAAAGTCGTTTTGGGGGCGGCATAAGCTTTGTATCTCATGGATGGAGATGCCAGTGGTCCTAGTCAACAAAAACCCAAAGCTCAATCAACGATAGAGTCATGACACGATTGAAAATGTCTTCCGGTGATGGTCGGCATAAGGTTCCGCAGCACAGCTAAGATTGCCAGGGTACAAGAGGATGGAGACTGAACTAGTAGCTCACACTTCTCTGGGAATGTCCCTCTCTTTCTCTAGTGGTCACTGTGGTAGATGTGTGGTCCTGCTCACAATTATTTATGGAAACGACTGCGGATTGGCGGAGATATGACTCTTCCGGGTAGGGAGAAGAAAGTGTCCACGCAAAGGGAAGGTACTCTCTACAACTAGGCAGGCGAAGAAGAAAAAATACATACCACCCGTCCTAGCACTGCTAGGCGGAGAGGAGGGGGCTCTGTGTTGATTGGCACTTCTCGTCGGCCGGATGTTGAGCTTAATTCCGAGACCTACATCGAACTCCAAAAGCCAAGCAAGTTATCGGGAGCAATCCTATCGTTTTCCCTGTGACGTGTTTGTCATAGTTTGTGTGGTGGCGATAACATATTTGGGAAGGTCTTTTTCCCGTGTAGTACAACATGACTGGGGAATGATGGAGAGCTGGCCTGCTAGATGATGCAAAATTTCTCCTTCCAAGTAACCTCAAACTAGTAATTTCGGGCTACAAATTTACATAATTAATTCCCAATCCTGCCTTATCTTTAATTGTGAAACATACAGTCCTTACACGGAATGACACAGTGATACCAGTTGCCCACACTAAACTACTTGCTCAAGCCAACAGTGCATAATCATGTATTATCACTCGCTACTAAATCACCAGTGGTTCCTATCTAGCGCCGGACCCTAGCATATGCGTAGGCGCGGTAAACGCCGTCGACTTCCTCTGAGGGCACATAGGTCAATTCGCCTCTGCTAGGCGTGAGAGGAGGCGGGCTACGAAACATCTCGGTGATACTCCTAGTTCGCGGGTTTCTTCGAGTCAATGACTAGCGCTTGGTGGCAAATTGACTAGTGACTGTAGGCGAATGTTTCATGTGCCGGTGTGATGTAGGCTGGTCTGCATGGGTTTGATGTTTGACATGTGTCTTTTCGGAGGGATGGAGTATCGATTGTCTACCCCAAACATGCGCGAAAGTGATGCCTCCAGTCTGCGCCATCCCATCGAATCATCAGTTATCACTCGATGTAAATTATTGACAGAATTTCCCTATTTACTTGTCAGCTGAAATTTTGCAATAGTTTCCACCGCCCCATCCCTTTTAAAGAATCCAATGACAAAGACTTGCGCCTGCGGTATCTGTATATAGTTAGTGCCAAGAGGAGGGATAGCATACTTTCGCTCCTCGATGCGGGTAGATCTAAACAGTAAACACCACCGAGGCTGGTTGGAGCTTTGCAAAGGGCGATAGAGGACGAAATCAAAAGCGCTCCGAAAATTCGCGTGAGATCTGCGCGAGGAAGACATTTCCAATGGCGCCAGCGCATTCGAGTCATAGGCTATCACTCGAGGGTAAAATTGATACGGTTTTATAGTTGCCTGTCAGCGGAACTGTTTTTTTAATAGTCTTGAACCCTAATGATAGCAGCCTTCCTCCAATATTTCCTAGGAGGACCTGTAGTCAACTGAGAAAGGGAGGGTTGGGGTCGACGTCGGGGAGCCGCTTACCACCTTAGAGGCCTTTCACATACACAAACCCTCGCTGA